ATCCTAATTAAAAAGGTATGCGCTAATAACAAACTTATACAAAGGTGTATATCATCATCCAAAAAAACATTTAGTGTTTTTAAATAAATAATTATAGTGTCCAAACATAAATTAGTGTCCAAAAAAAATATATATAGATAGATCTTCAGTGACTTGAACCAATTGTGAAAAATCCACCACCAAAGGAGATTAAATGAACTCACCAGAGCTAATGGCTGGTCCGATTATAAACCAGCAACAGCGCTTGTGCTCTGGGAGCAATGAACCCGATGTCCAAATAGATATGGTGATGTTTCAGACACTTCCGGATAATAGTGAACGGGACCTTGTACTAAAAACAAAGCAAAACATAAACAAAGCACTAGGAAATATATTTAGAAAGCATGGAATATGACATTTTCACAGCAGGTGAATAAATGATTGAAAACACAAGCACTAGGAAGATACACCTGCAGTAAATAGAAAATGCTTGGAAAGTGTCACATTCACTACTTTGTAACTACGGCCAGGTTCATGTGAATTTAACTGTGATTACAGTGATTGATTCACATGCAGTGAATGTTTGGTGAATGTCATATTCACTGTTTTATAGATTTAACCCATAAAAAAAAAAAGAAGACACAAGTTGAAGTTCACCATCCACTGGGACCATCTAGATCCAATCTGATGCCAGCCAAGCACATTTCTATTACTATATTTCTACCATTCAGTGACTTGTGGGGATAGTGAGCTGCTTGTCTTGCTGATTCACATATGTGCGGTGTGGCTTGATAGCGTCCGTTTCAGTGTGAATTGAAAAGCAGTTGTTCAGCGGTTCAGGTCCGGTTCAGGTCCGGATTTGAAGAGAGAAAATGGGCCTGAAATCGTGTTCACAAACTCACGACATGCGCGACTCAAAAGCAGTTCCCATAAAAGTCAATAACCTGTAATCTGCACCTGAACCGGACTGCACTGCTCAGAAATCGGACAGGACTCTTTTTCAATCCGCACTGCATCCGCATTGCCAGTGTACCGGACATATGTGAACAGGCACCATAGGAAGCAATGTTATTTCACATGTCACACGGATTGGATGCAGTTCTTATTTTTTGTTATTTAAGTTTTTATTTGATTATTATACAAATACAAAATAAGAAAAAACTAATACACATCTATTACAAAATCAACTCATATATAATCAATATATATAATCAATTTTCTCCCAATATTGCCTTTAACCCTCCCCACTCCTCCCCTCCCACCCAACCCCTCCTCCATACCCAATATAATTCTTCTCTCTTACCTACCTGTCTTTTACTTCTCTTTCTCTTGATTACCCCTTAATGCTCTTACATTTTCTTTACTTCCCCCTTTTCCCTAATCAATTCTATATATGTTTCCGAGTTTTTAAATTTCATCCATCTATACCATGTTTTCTTAAATTTTTCCATTTTATCCTCTTCCAAGTGGTACAATTCCTCCATTCTAAAGATACCCTCCACACTATCTATCCAGTCTCCGATTTTTGGTGCTTCAATCTCTTGCCAATACTTAGGAATCAACCCCTTTGCTGCACTAATTAAATGATACAGTACTCTGTTTTTGTATAACTCCGATGGTGGCTCAAAATAATAAAATAAACACTTCCATGGATCTATCTGAAAAGTTATCTCGCAAATTTCCTGGATACGTTGGGTTATTTCCCTCCAATAGTTCTGTATCTTTGGACAACTTCACCATATGTGAGCCATTGTACCCTGGGGCAGACTGACCATTTGGAAACTCGGGAACTGCCCGAGGGCCCGGGGTCAGTAGGGGGCCCCATAAGATGCCCCTGGTACCTTTTTCATAGGCTTTTTTGAGTTTGGGCAAGGACACAGGAGCCCCATGATCCCCAATTGCCCGGGGGCCCCATGAGTTGTCAGTCCGCCCCTGATTGTACCCCTTTCTCCACATCCTCTCCATCACAATGGGGAATTTTCTACCCGCTGTTTATGAGCTACATTTGGTGTAATATACCATCTGGCTAAACATTTATAATTAATTTCTACTGTACGCATATTTAGGATTGGATGCAGTTCAAACCGCATCCAATCTGAATATATGTGACACGGCACTACTTTGATGCGACTTGAGATCAAAGTCGCAATGGAAGTCGCACAACTTTGGAGTCATACAAGTGTGTATAGAGCTTTAAAACAGTATTAATCCCTCAGCATTTTTAGCCTAACACACTGAACACAATAAAAAAAAACATTTTCAAATAAACTATTTTTCAAATTCTTAATTCTACGGTTTAAAAACCTAGTTTACAACTTTCAATGCTGCTGGCCCCTGCTCTCTCGGTGCTGCTTCCCTGAACTTATAGTCTCCACAGAAAAAGGTTAACAGTGCACAGTGCTTTTGTGAAGTGGAATTTGGGTCAACATCTAAACCTAAATCTACTCCCACCCTCCATTCTAAGCCTATTCTATCCACCCTGTAAAAGAAAAGATGGCTATATGTACAGTGGATATAAAAAGTCTACACACCCCTGTTAACATGTCAGGTTTCTGTGATGTAAAAAAATTAGACAAAGATAAATCATTTGCAGAACTTTTTCCACCTTTAATGTGACCTATAAACTGTACAACGTAATTGAAAAACAAACTGAAATCTTTTAGGGGGGGCGGGGGGAGTAAACATAAAAAACTAAACTAAGGTGGTTGCATAAGTGAGCAAAATGATGTTAAATAGGAGTCAGTACACACCTGCCATCATTTAAAGTGCCTCTGATTAACCCCAAATAATGTTCAGCTGTTCTAGTAGGTCTTTGCTGACATTTTTTTAGTCTCAGCAAAAGCCATGGTCCTCAGAGAGCTTCCAAAGCATCAGAGGGATCTCATTGTTAAAAGGTATCAGTCAGGAGAAGGGTACAAAAGAATTTCCAAGGCATTAGATATACCATGGAACACAGTGAAGACAGTCATCATCAAGTGGAGAAAATATGGCGCAACAGTGACATTACCAAGAACTGGACGTCCCTCCAAAATTGATGAAAAGACGAGAAGAAAACTGGTCTGGGAGGCTGCCAAGAGGCCTACAGCAACATTAAAGGAGCTGCAGGAATATCTGGCAAGTACTGGCTGTGTGGTACATGTGACAACAATCTCCCATATTCTTCATATGTCTGGGCTATGGGGTAGAGTGGCAAGACGGAAGCCTTTTCTTATGAAGACAAATATCCAAGCCCGGCTAAATTTTGCAAAAACACATCTGAAGTCTCCCAAATGCATGTGGGAAAATTTGTTATGGTCTGATATGGTTTGGCTATAATTCCAAAAGATATGTTTGGCACAAAACAACACTGCACATCACCAAAAGAACGCCATACCCACAGTGAAGCATGGTGGTGGCAGCATCATGCTTTGGGGCTGTTTTTCTTCAGCTGGAACTGGGGCCTTAGTCAAGGTAGAGGGAATTATGAACAGTTCCAAATACCAGTCAATATTGGCACAAAACCTTCAGGCTTCTTCTAGAAAGCTGAACACGAAGAGGAACTTCATCTTTCAGCATGACAACGACCCAAAGCATACATCCAAATCAACAAAGGAATAGCTTCATCAGGAGAAGATTAAAGTTTTGGAATGGCCCAGCCAGAGCCCAGACCTGAATCTGGAGGAAAATGTGTGGGGTGATCTGAAGAGGGCTGTGCACAGGAGATGCCCTCGCAATCTGACAGATTTGGAGTGTTTTTGCAAGGAAGAGTGGGCAAATATTGCCAAGTCAAGATGTGCCATGCTGATAGACTCATACCCAAAAAGACTGAGTGCTGGAATCAAATCAAAAGGTGCTTCAACAAAGTATTAGTTTAAGGGTGTGCACACTTATGCAACCATATTATTTTAGTTTATTATTTTTACTTCCCTCCACCTAAAACATTTCAGTTTGTTGTTCAACTGAGCTGTACAGTTTATAGGTTACATTAAAGGTGGAAAAAGTTCTGAAATTATTTATCTTTGTCTCATTTTGTTACATCACAGAGACCTGACATTTTAACAGGGGTGTGTGCACTGTTTATATCCACTGTATGTACCTATTCTGAAGCTGCTCCACTCCGGTTACATGATCGGGTCGCAATGCTAGCTTCAGTGTACAGGAGAGGTAGCAACAACGGTTGCAGAGCCTGGGTGGTGACGTCACCCATAGGCTTGCTATGGGGCAGCCGTTGTCAGCTGTCCCTCCGCTACACTGAAGCTAGTGCTGGGACCCGATCATGTGACCAGAGCGGATCTTTTCTTTTACAGGGTGGATAGAATAGGCTTAGAATGGGGGTAGGAGTAGATTTAGGCTTAGTTAGATGTTGACATGAATTCAACTTTTAGACGGTTTGTTAGTCTAGGGGAGGAAGGAGCATGAGAGCACCTTGCCATCCTAGGCTATGGGGCTGTGTGTTCCTATTGATGTACACAGTGTAGGGAGACACTCTAGTCCTACATGCAAGGGTGACTACATGGGATGTTGCAAGAGAAAGGAGCCATATTGAAACGGGACACCTGGGACAGTGATTGCGAGCTTAGCTTGGCCGTCAATCTGCTATAGGCTGGGTGGGACACTTGCCATTGTGACTGGTCGTCATATGACATCCTCTCAAAACGAGCCGCTCATGCGGCCGCACGGCCATGCAGCAGCACGATCTGTCCCATGACATATCACTACACCGGCCCATTGCCAGTGTCATGTGACCGCTGTGACCAATCACAGCAGATCACATGTCAATTGTATACAATAGATGGCTTCCTGTCATGCCATTCATTGTATACAATTATGTTGTTAGCTGTGACTGGTCAAGGCAGTCCCATGATACAGACAGGGCCAACCACAGCCCATCTGTATCATGTGATCAGCTAATCACAACAAAAGACTGAATTAATCAGTTTCATTCAGTAACAATGATTGCAAATATCAATGAAATACACTGGTATTAGCAATCATAATGTGTTTAAAAAAAAAAAATCCTGATCACTTGCACAGAGTAGTTCAATGTTACTATGGTAACATTGTATTGCTTTGGTCACAGCGTGCTGAAAAAATAAAATAGTAAAAAAAAGATAGAAACATTTGAAAAAAAAAATACAGTTCAATTATTATTATTATTTTCACCAAAGAAATGTAACAGAATACATTTTGATCTAAATGTATGAAGAAATTTTATTTATCTGCAAAATTTTATAACAGAAACAAAGAAAAGTGTTTTTTTTTTTTTTACAAAAGTTTCAGTTGTTATTTGTTTTATTTAGCAAAAAATAAAAAACTCAGTGGTGATTAAATACCACCAAAAAAAGCTCTATTTGTGTGAAAAAAATGATAAAAATTTCATATGGGTGCAGTGTTGCATGGCCGCGCAATTGTCATTCAAAGTGTGACAGAGCTGAAAGCTGAAAATTGGTCGTGGCAGGAAGGGGGTAAAAGTGCCCATTATTGAAGTGGTTAAACTGCAACACAGGCAAGGATGAATTAAAAGATAGAGAAGCTGCATACTCAGTGCTGTAAGTAATAAGCTGTTGAAAGGGCCTAAAACTGAGGGCTATTAATATATTATTAATATCATATTTTTAAATTCTTTCTTTAACATATACAATCGGTTATACATATTTACAATCACATTATTAGACTTCAGCATCGCTTTTCAAAACAGATCTAGCCAGCATACACATTATATATAGTATAGTCAAACACTTTGATGTGCTTTATATCAATGAACAAAAACTGCCAATTCAGAACTGCATGGTCTTTGTAGGGCAATTATGTTTATTGTTTTGCAGTGGCCAAGATCCTGATGGTGGGCTCCATTCACAGAACCAGATTGCATGTGGTATGTACTGTAGGTGTCCACACACATATTTACTGCAAAACACTGAAAACAGGTAAATACTGCCTGAACAGGAGGAAATAAATAATTAAATGCATGCGATAATTAAGTAGTGGTCAAGACATGCGGTATTTAAAGCGGTTGTAAAGCCTGAAGGTTTTTTCACCTTCATGCATTCTATGCATGAAGGTAAAAAACCTTCTGTGTACAAGCAATGCCCCCCGCCCCCTCAACACATACCTGAGCACCATTGTGATCCAGCAATGTGAATGACAGCCACCGCTGTCCTGGGTCACTACCAGGGGCAGACTGACCATTTGGAAACTCGGGCACTGCCCGAGGGCCCAGGGTCAGTAGGGGGCCCCATGAGATGCCCATGGTACCTTTTTTCATAGGCTTTTTTGAGTTTGGGCAAGGACACAGGGGCCCCATGATCCCCTATTGCTCGGGGGTCCCATGAGTTGTCAGTCCACCCCTGGTCTCTACCACCTCATTGGCTGAGACAGCATGAGGGAGCCATTGGCTCCCGCTGCTGTCAATCACAGCCAGTCAGAAAATGAGGAGGGGAGGCAAGCCGCGGCTCTGTGTGTGAATGGACACATAGAGCAGCAGGTGCCACCATAGCAAGCTGCTTGTTGTGGGGGCACCCAACAGAATGGAGGAGCTAGTAGAGCCTATGGGGGACCCGAGAAGAGAAGGATCCAGGTTGCTCTGTGCAAAACTACTACACACAGTGAGTAAGTATAGACATGTTTGTTATTTTATGCGAAAAAAAAAAAAAAAAATATGAACCTACAGAATCGCTTTAAGCAATGTGTACTGGTTGTTAAGGAGTGAGCAGCCGTTCCGGTGTCCTTAACAACCAGTAACTGTCATGGTTGGTACAGAGTGGGCAGTCACCACATCCCTAACAGCCAATGAGCCATCTGCTGTTAGCGGGGTTCCCTGCTGACGGCTGAATGAAAAAAAAAAAAGAAAAGAAATGTAGGCAATGAAAAAGTAAGAAAAAAACCAGCATAGGGTCCCCCCCCCCCAAATCCATAACAGGCCTTTGGGGCATCCTACTTAAACCTAATGCATTGCTTATACCCTTACAGTTATTGTTTCAACCATCTACATGCATCATCAGCGGCGCCCTCAACTTTACTGACTGGTTTTCCAGCATGGGATCACTAAATGGTGCTGATGTTTTTTCTGCTTTTGTTTCCTATTATTAGCTTAACTTGTCAGTTACCATATGAATTCTTTACAATCTCTATTGTATGCGACTCTGTGAAACTCTTGGCACATCATACATGACCATCATAAACATTATGGACCTATTGGTAAGACTTTAATCTTGATTACTGCCTATATTTGTATAGTCTGTAATGTGCACTCTAAATAAAGAATTTGAAGAAATATATATACTGTATATCAGCCTTTCTCAACCAGGGTGCCCAGAACTCTGGGGTGCCTTGAGGCTTCTTCAGGGGTGCCTTGGCAAAAAGTCTAAAAAATTGCCAAAAACATGTATACAAGTCAGCGGGTGGAAAAAGCCTGCCTTTTAGCCCTCATGCACACTTGACGTTTTGATAAACACTGGTAACGTCAGCTTTTTTTAGCGTTTTTGCATTAGCGTTTAGCGGCATTTTGCTGCGATTAGTGGCGTTTTTAAGCATTTGCATTTTTTTCCAATTTTTTTTTCAGTCAAAAAAGTCCAAAAACACCGCTTTGCACCATTTTACTACGTTTTTCAGTGTTAGAACGTTTTTATAGCTAAAACTCCTCTGGAAACCCACTAGTTTTGGGGATTTTTTTTAGCCAAAAACGTTGATAACAGTGATAACAGTGCATGAACACATAGATAACATGCTGGGGAGTTTATTGACTCTAGAAAAAAACGTCAAATGCTAAAACCAGCCACTGTAAAAACGTCAAGTGGCATGAGGGCTTAGTTAAACAAAGCCACAGGTTTTCATTGTGCAAAATTACAACCTTCTAGCCGCCGGCATCCTGACAACCAATGACATCATCAGGTGATAAGGAGGATGTCAGTTGCCTGCACAGCATCCTAGATTCACCCTCCCCCGCCCCTCTCCATCAGTCCTGGGATCACATTAGCTCAGTGATGGAGAAAAACTGAGGGAGAAGAGAAACATTGGAATACTAGTCAGTACCAGTGTGCAAAAGTGTATTTGCTTTGGAAGAATAAATCACATCTAATGTTGGGTGTCCTACATGTGTGGATGTTGCTGAGGTATATAAAACTATTAGTTTTTCACATTTTAGAATGGGGGGTGTCCATCATTTTAAAGGGTGCCTCGGGACTGTCCATCATTTTAAAGGGTGCCTCGGGACTGTCCATCATTTTAAAGAGTGCCTCGGGACTGTCCATCATTTTAAAGGGTGCCTTGGGACTGTCCATCATTTTAAAGGGTGCCTCGGGACTGTCCATCATTTTAAAGGGTGCCTTGACTGAAAAAAGGTTGAGAAACACTGCTGTATATTATCATTATATATTATTAGTAACAGTAATGTAGATTTATATTTTAACATATTAAAGAATATTCAAGATAAAAAACAAAAATGTAATACATATTTGGTGTTTGCATTAATTTTCATTTTTCAGACTTTTATCTCGTTTCTCTTCACCTGGTGAATCTGCCTCTAACACTCTTGCTGCCCTACACTAAAGCTGGGTACGCAAGGATGGAAATTTGGATGGTTCAGCAGGGACCGGATGAATTTTAAACTGTGTGTGGCCCTCCCTGTCCAACATATGTCAACTGGTAGATAAACTTCATTGAACGGGACTGGAAAACTTTAATTCGATCGGCGGCTGCAGCACTGATCAGTGTATCCTGACAGTGGAGGAGTCCCCGCTGTCACAATACAATAGCACATCAAGGAAGATTCCTCCATCCACTTCGCTTGTGTAGATAGGGGAATCTATTCAACCTGCTGTGTTCGGCAGTGTAATCACGTTCACATATTTTTTCCTTTTCTAGTATACGCTAGGTGGGGCATATCAATTACAACAAATCTAAATATGGTGTGTGCAAATGGGTGGATATATACAAGAGGGCAGCATGTTAGTAGTCATATGATTGCCAAGGCTGCTGTTAGAAACCACGGGGCCCCATACAGCCAATCTGAAAGAGCCCCCTCCCATCAAAAAAACCCACAGTTTCCTATGCTTCAGTTAAGAATGAACACAGTGAGTGATCGGCACCACTCATTGTGTTCATTCAGGATAGGAAGGGGTTGATAAATGGTACATATTTACCAGACCCCTCCCCCACTCTCTATCCTGAAGGATCATATTGTGTGCTTGCAGCTGCCAGTGGGAAGGAAAGGAGGAGAGCTGGCAGCAGTGCAGGGGTGGGGGCACACATGGGGGTCTGGGCAGCAGGGGGGGAAACATATGATGCACAGGGAGGGTGATAGCTGCAGCAGGGAATGGGGCAATTACTGGAACCAATCCCCTGTATGGCTCTATGCAGCAGCTGAAAGCCAGAAGGAGGCTGTTTCAGCTGTTGCAGAGAGTCATACAGAGGATTGGTCCCAGTAATTACACCCTCCCCCCCATCATGCTGATCATTCTCCCTACCCACATCGGATTCACCCAGCTGCCTAGGCCCCCTGCTGGCCTGGGCCCTGTACAGGAGGACTGGTGGTACCCCCTTATCCATGGCCCTGATGACTGCACCACTGTTGGCTAAGATGATACAACCATAATTCCACTCTACTCATTCAGTATCTAAAGACTGGCAATCACAAACTGCTCATCCATTGAATGGCTTATCAGTGTTAGAGTTCATTTTGCCATCATCAGAGGCATCTGAAGAATAAAGTGCCATCATGTTTTATTTTCCTGTAAGCCTGAGTGATGTGTATTACAACATTTTACCAATAGCCCTCATTTATCATCAATAAATATGCAACATTCCAGTATGTAGTGTATGGTTACCATTTCTACTACTACTACTGCTACTACTACTCACTGTGATTGCTTTCCATGCTTCTGCACACAAAATCAGAAATTTCATGTAGATTGTTAAAGAAAATCTGTTAGGAAAAAAAATGTACGCAGCTTTTACTGCCAACTTGCTTTTTATTATGTTGGCACCAGGGCTGCCATCCTTTGCATCAGTACTTAAATTGTATGTAAAACAATTTTTTTCTGTTTTGTATGGAGCACTGAAGGCTTAGAACCTCCGTCAGGTTTTACTTCTAGGTTGGAGAGTGAAATAGTGCACGCCAAATGGTTCTTCGCCACTGCCATAAAGAGTGCAGCACTGGTATAAAGTGGATGGCGCTGTTTAGCAGAAATCATAAGCAAATCCAGTCTCACCAGCACGTTGTATACTCAGAAAGGAGCTTTATTATTGATCTGTGATCCGTGGTCATTAATAAAGCTCCTCTCAGAGCATATGATGTGCTGGTAAGATCCAATTTGTTGGAGGTTTTTCTTATGTCTGTTGTGGAGATTCACATTCTCTGTTTGTCCTAGTAACCGTTGTCACCAGGACTCAAACTGAAAGAAAATCCACATTTAGAGTTGTCACCAAAACGGGGATAGAGGAGAAATCTTCCACTGAGGACACTTGTTCTGGGGACAACTATGATGGGATTTCCTCCTACTTCTTCTTGGGTCTTCACAGAAAGTAAACCTTTCCTTAAGCCTGGGTTCACATATATGCGGTGCAGTCAGGGGTGGACTGACAACTCATGGGGCCCCCGGGCAATAGGGGATCATGGGGCCCCTGTGTCCTTGGCCAAACTCAAAAAAGCCTATGAAAAAGGTACCAGGGGCATCTCATGGGGCCCCCTACTGACCCCGGGCCCTCAGGCAGTGCCCGAGTTTCCAAATGGTCAGTCCACCCCTGGGTGCAGTATATCGCATGTGATTCACACAGGAACCGCACCACATTCCTGTGCAAATCACATGCGATTTGTGTGCGGTGCGATTGGAGCCATACATTTTGTATGGCTCAAACCGCACCTGCACCAAAAAGGTGCAGGACCCTTTTTTGGGTCCGCACTAGAATCGCATCGCATGTGTATTCACACCTATGCGATCCCATTTTTCACCGAGTTTTGCGGACTAATTTCAGGGTGTTGTTATCTTAACATAAACACCCGCATTGGTTCGCATGAACGGGGTGTGATTCTAATGCGGTACGGAATTCGAAAAGAAAATGCTGCAAATTCCGCACCGCATCAGCGTGAACCCAGCCTGAAGGTTCACAGACAGCAAACAAAACTTGTCTGGGGTTTTACCCATTCCCTACTCCGTCTAAAACTGAAAAGCGTTTTGACTTTACATATGGACAAACATGAAAAAGTACAACTTCAATGCTTCTATCACTGACATCAGCCAACATGACATTTAATGAAACAGTCATGCTACAGAAAAATGGCAACCGATCACACTTAGGACGCCCACTCACTAGGGTTGCCATCTCATCCCTTT